TTTTTGTTTTGTTTTCATTATATTGTTTTTTTTATTCCTTTTGTGTGTTTCATTATAATTTCATTGCACGTTATGTGCAGCTGTGTGTTTCTCTTTTGCGTTTCCGATACACCTTGTGTATCTTGTGTGTTAATTTTTATGGAATGACTCTTTTTTCATTATATACAAACTGCTGCACGGACATGAAGAATAAAGATATGGGCACAGCACGTTCAGTACACAATGATTTTCCGTTGTTAACCTTGGAGTGGATTGGACTGTGTCCAGGCATCGCAGCCACNCGTTCAGTACACAGTGATTTTCCGTTGTTAACCTTGGAGTGGATTGGACTGTGTCCAGGCATCGCAGCCACAGTCAGTCATGAATTTCTTTTGGTTTTGCATTTTTGCTCTATTATTGTGTCTGCCTCACGCAGTCACTCTTTTTTTACATTTTTCTTTTGGTATAAAGATCGATGGGTTGTAGGTGTTTGAGTCTTTTTCTCTCTGTGTGTGTGTTCAGCTTACTACTCGCACCGCCCATGCAATGAAAACACATTTCTCTGTTCTCACCTTCTCTTTCGGTTGGTGTCACTCACGGCATTGCCACGAACATATTTGTGCCCTTGTGGTGTGTTTTGTTTGTTGTGTGGCTTGCTTGAGTGACTGCAGCCTGCGGGGAGGGACTGAGACTGATCCGCTTCGGCTTCACGTAATGGGTCTGTTTTTTTTTTTTTTTTCCTCTTGGGGTTGAGTTGATGTGCTGGTGTGGGTGAATGATTTTCTCTGATGAGAGTGGCACCTGTGTTTATTGTATTGTGAGTGCCTTGTGTCCTGTTGGTATCCTGTTGTTGTTGTTCTTCTTCTCTTGTGTTTTTCTTTTCCTCTCTGCAGGTTTGTGACTCCGTGTACATTTTAGTGAATGCGGCAGTGCCTCTCTGNATTTCATTGCACGTTATGTGCAGCTGTGTGTTTCTCTTTTGCGCTTCCGATACACCTTGTGTATCTTGTGTGTTCATTTTTGTGAAATGATTCCTATTTTCATTATATACAAACTGCTGCACGGACATGAAGAATAAAGATATGGGCACAGCACGTTCAGTACACAGTGATTTTCCGTTGTTAACCTTGGAGTGGATTGGACTGTGTCCAAGCATCGCAGCCACAGAAACACATGAATTTCTTTTGCTTTTACATCTTTGCTCTATTATTGTGTCTGCCTCACGCAGTCACTCTTTTTTTTTTTACATTTTTATTTTGGTGTAAATATCGATGGGTTGTGGGTGTTTGAGTCTTTTTCTCTGTGTGTGTGTGTGTTCAGCTTGCTACTCGCACCGCCCACGCAATGAAAATACGCATTTCTTTGTTCTTACCTTCTCTCTCGGTGTTGTCATTCACGGCATTGCCACGAACATATTTCTGCCCTTGTGGTGTGTGTTGTTTATTGTGTGGCTTGCTTGAGTGACTGCGACCTGCGGGGAGGTGAACTTGTGCTTTTTTTCTTCCGCTTCACTTAATGGTTTTTTTCTTCTTGGGCTGTGCTTGTGTGTGTGGATGCTTTTCTCTGATGGGAGTGGCACCTGTGTTTATTGTATTGTGAGTGCCTTGTGTGCTGTTGGTATCCTGTTGTTGTTGTTGTTCTTTTCTTGTGTTTTTCCGTTCCTCTCTGAAGGTCTGTGACTCCGTGTACATTTTAGTGAATGCGGCAGGGCCTCTCTGATATGAGCATGTGAGAGTGTGCGTGTGCGGCTGTCTGTGCCGTTGTGTGTGGGCTGTGAGTGGGAAGGGGGCTTTGTGTTGCTGGACCACTCCACTGCAGCGTCTGTGGGGTTTGTGCCTCTCCGTACTGTTCTCCCCACAACTGTACAATGACTATGCGGTCAGCGAAAACACAGGCGCTGTGTTCACAACTGTCACTCCGCCTGCACCTGTGCTGCCCAAGATACAACAGCTGCTGTCTCCTTCTCTAACTGTCTATTTATATATTTCTTTCTCTGTGTGAGTGAGTGGCCATGTGATGTGAACCATCGAGGCATTTGTATGACCACAACGTGACTTAGACCTCCGTGCACCAAGCTACCTACCATATGCACGGGACTGACATGCCACACTTCTCCCCCTCACACCATATGATTCCTTTCTTTCTTTCCCTCTATCCACATACAGACGCATACACACATATATATATGTACATGCAGACACGCCTCCTGTACTGTTGTGCACGCGGCCCATTAATTGGCGACCCACTGCAGCAGCACGGCATGTCTGTGTGTGTGTGTGTGTGATAGACGCCATCACCGCGGGTAGCACCGTTGCGGGGCACGGCCATTGCCCCAACAGCGGACTTGCCTGCGGAAGAACCAAACACATGTATATATACACACATGCAGAATGATAGATGATGACACGCCTCAAACACAATGGTCCCTTGGTGGCTGTATAAATCGATGCTGCTCCACAGGATACCCACTGAGGCAAGATGAAAGCAGTGGGATAGATGAGGGAGTGTAGTTGCGGTGGGGTTGATTGTAATTGCTTGTGTTTTCTCCTGTGTGCTGTGTTCACTGTCCTTCTGTATGGGCGATACCAGAGTTCTCTGTTTGCAGTGTTGTAATTCTGTTGGTGTATGAGCACAACATGATCTGCATTCCTAGTGATGGGCTAATCATCATTAAGCACCCCACGATGCTTCTGTTGTTGCGTTCTGTGCACTGTTGTTTCTCCTCTTTGTGTTTTTTGTTTTGTAGTGTGTGTGTGTTCTGGCCTCTAGTCTGGCTCTGTGGTGTGTGAGTGGTTTACTGTTTTTCCCCCATTGTGTTGTGTTTGATTGCTGTTGTGATGTGTACTCTCTCTTTCTCTGTGGTGTTGTGTGCCCTCTGCCTTGTGTGTTAAATGTGTGTCTCTTTTCTNCCCTTGTGTGTGTGTTGTTTGTTGTGTGGCTTGCTTGAGTGACTGCAGCCTGCGGGGAGGGACTGAGACTGTTCCGCTTCGGCTTCACGTAATGGATCTGTTTTTTCTTTTTTTTTCTTCTTGGGGTTGAGTTGATGTGCTGGTGTGGGTGAATGTTTTTCTCTGATGGGAGTGTCACCTGTGTTTATTGTATTGTGAGTGACCTTTGTGCTGTTGGTATCCTGTTGTTGTTGTTCTTCTTCTTCTCTTGTGTTTTTCTTTTCCTCTCTGCAGGTGTGTGGCTCCGTGTACATTTTAGTGAATGCGGCAGTGCCCCTCTGATATGAGCATGTGAGAGTGTGAGTGTGTGGCTGTCTCTGCCATTGTGTGTGGACTGTGGGTGGGAAGGGGGCTTTGTGTTGCTGGACCGCTCCACTGCGGCGTCTGTGGGGTACAAAGAGTAGCGGTGTGGCGATATCCACCGACATGTGTGTGTGGGTGACTGGAGTGGCGGTGAGGCTCTTTTACGTCGGTCCACTGCCCTCTGGTACGATTGGGGTCACGCACATGAATGGATTAATGAGATTCCCTCTGACCCGAGTTACTAACGAGCGAAACGGCAGTCAAGGGAACGGACTTGAAGGGCTAAGCGGGGAAAGAAGACCCTGTTGAGTTTGACCCCAGTCTGGCTCTGTGCGGCGACACCTGAGGTGTAGTATAGGTGGAAGCGCAAGCACAAATGAAATACCACCACTCGGAACGTTGCTTCACTTATCGAATGAAGAGACCAATGGGTTTCG